CGTGTTTTTCTCTCCAATAGCTTGGAGCAAACAGTGGTGTGCACATCATCATCTTTGATGAGATCGATGCAATCTGCAAGCAGAGAGGGAGCATGGCGGGCAGCACGGGCGTCCACGATACCGTTGTAAACCAGTTGCTGTCTAAAATCGATGGCGTGGAGCAGCTCAATAACATCCTGGTGATTGGTACGATGGTGCTTTCTTTCTCTGTTATGGGGTCTGGTTGAGAACTGCAGATGCTTTGCTCGTTGCATGTCAGCTGAGTTATCGTTTCTGGTCTTGGATCGGTTTGGACTGATCCAGAGGGACTGCTGTTTAACAAGCAGCAGCAGATTTAAAGGGAGATGGTGCTGTAATCGGCTGGTATTGCTGCTTTCAACAGTTTCCTCCTGATGACTCTTTGAGGCATTTTCTTAGCTCTGTGGGATGTATTCAGGAGTTGGAGACCCACTTAGCAAGCTCAGATAATGCTTATTTTATTTTTAACCTTGAACTTAGGAATGACCAACAGACCCGACCTGATTGATGAGGCTCTGCTGAGACCGGGGAGGCTGGAGGTGAAGATGGAGATTGGTAAGCAAGCTGGCGTATCACGATACCTGAGCTCACCTGGGCTTAAAATAGTGGAGCAATTCTATATCTTAATGTGAACAGTTAACCAGGATGGCTGAGGTGTAAACCTCATGCAGCTCCCTCCTTGTAAATTTAATCAGCCAGTTAAAGTACCATTTCAGACTGACCTACTGATAGTGGTTTCTGTGGAAAGGAAGGGATGGGTGTGGGCAGGCAGGACCCAGAATCTCTGAGCCAAGGAACGGCACCAGATCATCCCTAGGTGGAACTTGTGGAGCTGGTGAACTTGTAGAGCAGGCAAGAGCAGGGCATGGGCAGTTCTTGACTTGGAGGAAGTGCAGATCGTTTTATTTGCATGCAGTGAGAACGGTGACTTTTACTGCAGGAGCTGCAATGCTGAACAGCGTTGGCTGCTGGCCTCTGAGATCAGCAGGTCTGGAGTGTGGGCATCAGCAGAACTCAGAGTGGGCTGGAGAGCTCTGGTAGCCACTTACCCCAGTGCTGGAAAAGGGACTCTGTCAGGGACTGAGTAGGGCTTCTGAATGTGCAGTGGTCAGAAAAGGAAGATTAAAAAAAACTATGTGCACTCTGGAGCAGGTCCAGAGAAGGCCTGCTGGCCTCTGAGATCAGCAGGTCTGGAGTGTGGGCATCAGCAGAACTCAGAGTGGGCTGGAGAGCTCTGGTAGCCACTTACCCCAGTGCTGGAAAAGGGACTCTGTCAGGGACTGAGTAGGGCTTCTGAATGTGCAGTGGTCAGAAAAGGAAGATTAAAAAAAACTATGTGCACTCTGGAGCAGGTCCAGAGAAGGCCACAGAAATGTACTCTGTCAGGGACTGAGTTGGGCTTCTAAAGGTGCAATGGTCAGAAAAGGAAGATTAAAAAAACCATGTGCACTCTGGAGCAGGTCCAGAGAAGGCCACGGAAGTGTCCCAAGGCCTGGAACACCTCTGCTGTGTGGAAAATCTGAGAGTTGGGGTGGTTCAGCCTGGAGAAGAAGAGGCCCTGGGAAGAGCTTGTTGTGGCCATTCAGTGCGTAAAGGGGGCTGATAGAGCTGGAGAGAGGCTTCTCACCAGGGCCTGGAGTAATGGGACGAGGGGCAGCAGCTTAAAACTGACAGAGGGCAGGTTCAGTTTGGATACACGGGAGGAATGGACCATGAGGACGCTGAGACACTGCACCAGGCTGCCCAGAGAGGAGATGGGACAAGGGGCAGCTGCTTAAAACTGACAGAGGGCAGGTTCAGATTGGATACACAGGAGAAATGGACCACGAGGGTGCTGAGACACTGCACCAGGCTGCCCAGAGAGGTTGTGGCTGCTCTAGCACTGGAGGTGTTGAAGGCCAGGCTGGACGGGGCTGTGAGCAGCCTGGGCTGGTGACACAAACTCCTGCCCGTGTCAGGGCGGTTGGACCAGATCTTAAAGTTCCCTTCCAGCCCAAACCATTCTGTGATTCTGTGCTCGTTACAAGGTGGGAGCTGGGTTTAGGGATGCCAGGGGACTGGCCAGATTGCATTTGTGTAAGGTGCCCGAGAGCAACCGACTTGGAGGAGCCTTGAGGAGAGGAACTGAACACTACCTGTGTTCTCTGTAGCTCGGTGGTGGTGCTGATCGATTCAGTCTGATGGAATGGTCTCAAACAAAAAGCGTTGTCAAACGCTGTAAGAATGAATTGCTCATGGCGAGAAGGAGCCCTTGGAGGCAGCGCTGCTGAGGAGAGCGAAAGGCTTTGCTGCGGTTGCTGTGCGGGGCGCTGGCTGACGTGACTTTGACTTCTCTTTGACATCCCAGGCTTGCCGGACGAGAAGGGCCGATTTCAGATTCTTCACATCCACACCGTGCGGATGCGGGAGCACCAGCTGCTGTCTGAGGATGTGGACATTGCAGAACTGGCAGTGGAGACTAAAAACTTCAGTGGTGCTGAGTTGGAGGGTTTAGTTCGAGCTGCTCAGTCCACTGCTATGAACAGGCACATTAAGGTCAGTCCTGTCGTCTCTCACTGGGGAAAAAAAGGGAAAATCATTATTTTTGGAGTCTCTTCTTGCATGCTCCCTCTGCTCTGGGGCAACGCTGCCTTGCTCTCCAGTGCTTGCTGGTTGTGGGAGGTCAGTGTGTCTTTAGCTGGAAAGGCGTTCAGGACCATGACAGGTCAGGTTGTGTGAATCCAGATGCAAAACGCGGTGTTCGGTGGTGTTGACACACGAGATGATGAGTTTGTGGAGGAGGAGGCTGGAAGACGCAGCCCCTTTGCTCCAACAGCCCGGGGTTGGTGTGAATTCCTGCGGAGGAAAGGTCCTGACAGCACTTCCAGGGCACTGGTGTGTTTTGAAGTAAAAAGTCTGTTCAGCCTGCAATATGGGGAAGGCAAATCACGCTTTCATTTCGGCGAGAGAAACCATTTGGTTGCTTGGACGTTTGTATCTCTTGGGAGCGCTCTAAAGGAAAAATGGCTTTTTCTGGTAATTCTTCTTGTATAGCTATAACACTTGAAAAGCTTTTAATTGTTTCCTATCCCAAACAGCCACAAACATCAGCAGTTTCTCATTTTCTTGTGTTCTGTCCAAAAAACCCAACCGAAACACCAGCATTCTGGAGGTATTTTCATCCCTTTGTGAGCAAAATACGTTCCTTAAATAATTAGTTTTGCTTCTAGTTGGTGTTTTTGCTGTGCTCGGATTTTGGGGGCTATTGGTGTTGTGATACATTCCCTGTTGTGCCAAAATGTCACAGCACGAGAAGAGAAAATGGCAACGCATGAATGTGAAGGAGCCGTCCCCTCCTTGTGTTGGTGTGTGAGTGACATCTCAATAACATGTGTACGTGTCTTCCAAACGCGGAGCCGCCGCGCTTTGCTTTTCCTTTCAAGCCGCTGACGTCGTGTTTTCGGACGATCTCACTGTTTACTCTGGAGATGTCTTCAGCGAAACGATGCACCAAGGTGTTTGATTCTCTCCTGCGAGTGCTGCAGAGCCTAAAATATACATCATAGGCCTGACCCAGTTTTCAGAAGCACCAACGAGAAGCAGGAGCACAGATTGCAAATCGAGGGGCCTCATTCTTGTGAATCATTTAAACTCTTCTGGTTATCTCTCAAAGCGCGTGTTAAAAATTAAAGCGTGTAACTCATTGCAGACCAGGGCAGAAAGAGCCCCCCTGTTCTTCAGCTGCAGACAACTTCAGCAATGTATGAATGGTGTTCTGGGCGCCTTCACTTCCCTCTGCTGAGCAGGGGGGGACCAGCCCGTGCTAACGCCCCCCGGTTTGGTCTGATGCCGCCCCATGGCTCTGCCTGGCGGGGTTTGTGGCTCTGGTTTCAGCCGTGCTCTGGTTGTTTGGCACCGTGTCCTTGGCCGCCCGGGGTGGCTGAGGCTGCGTTTGCCACTCGACAAGCACGATGTGATTATTTTTATTATCGTGTTTTCCTTCCCATGCTCGAGTGCGTTCCTTGTTCTGGGAGACCACCCGAGCCAGAGGAGAGCGTCTCGGAGACGCGTCCTCGAGGGGCAGAGTTCTTTCCCTGGGTCTTAGGTAGAGGTGACAGAGGTTGCTGTGCCTTCCAAGAAACTCCTTGAAATCCCAGATCTTTACCTCCTGAGCTATCAAATCCTCATTCTGTTCTCAGGCGGTGGTGTGAGGCTTGGGTAACTTTCAATTGTAATTATACTTGTTTTGGAATCTGGAGACATTTCTTGGGGTATAATTGGGAAACTCAGAATTTGTCCAAAGCCTTTCAGGGCTGCACTTTGGTGGAAGCGAGTGAAGATCTTTGCCTCGTCCCTGTGCAGCTTAGAACCAGGTTTCTGCCCTGCCACTTTGCAGCGAGGCGAGCAGAGCAGCTCCTGCCCCTCTCATGACGAATCCCTTTCCTGATACCTCTGAGCACTCGGGATCCCCACTGCACCCCTGGGATTAGTACAGAACAGCCAGCGTTCCTGTGCCGCTGAGTGGAGCAGTTGTTCCAAATCCCCTTAATTCTCAGTGGCTGCCCAAGGCGGTCGATACCTGCAGGCCCACAAATAATCCTGGTAAACGGAGCCGTCCCTGCTGCGCGGCTCCTTCCGCTCTTTGGCTTTTCAGTGTTGCTGGACGGTTTGGGAATGGCAGAAGGAAAAAGGTGATGCTTTTCCTGGCACAAGGAGGGCAGTGTGAGTAAACGGAGCCATCCCTGCTGCGCGGCTCCTTCTGCTCTTTGGCTTTTCAGTGTTGCTGGACAGTTTGGGAATGGCAGAAGGAAAAAGGCGATGCTTTTCCTGGCACAAGGAGGGCAGTGTGAGCTGAGCTGGCTGCCGCTGCTTTGTTCCAAGTCATGGCGATAGCGCTGCCTTGAGATTCATGGTGTTGGTTGAACTGGAGCAAATACAGATACAGCAGAAAGAAATCTCGTATTTACCAGTCCTCTTAAAGACTTTCTTGTGCGGAGAGAGAAGTGCATAGATTGAATAGAAAACAAAAACCTCCCGAAATAGAGGTGTCTGAATAACTCTGATTTTTGACTTGGCTGCCAAAGGTGGCGTGAGCAGATTCAGAGCTGGGTTACACCAAACTTTAATTTGACTGCGCCATGAAGGAGGCTTCATTCTCTTCCCATCCAGAACCCAGAAAGCACAGCACAGAGTTTTTTCTACAGCCTCTAAATGGAAAGGGCAGCTCCCTGCTCCAGAGGGAACCTGTGTAGCTTCAACAGCTCTCAGAAATTTAACTTGGGTGAGATCAGCCCCAGCCTGGTCACCAGTCCGAGCCTCACTGACACTTGGATGGTGCAGAGCTCCCATCCTGCTCTCAGCTGGGGCGGCTTCTCTGCAACGCGGGGTTGTGGCCGCAGTCCTCACTTCGGCTTTGGGCCCGGGGAGGGCACAGCTGTCGATGGCTTTGTGGGGCTGGCGTGTGGAGGTGGCTCTGTGAAGGTGCTGGTTGCTCCGGTGGCATCCAGCAGATGCCCAGCCGATGTCCTGGTAAGAAGCATTTCTCTCACTGATGCAGACCAAGCCTGGGTTGGCTCCGCGGATGGAAGTTGGTAAGAGGTCGTGTGTGGTGCTGCCGTGCTTCAGTGTCTTTTCTTGCCTTTATTAGGCCAGCAACAAAGTGGAGGTGGACATGGAGAAGGCGGAGAGCTTGCGTGTGACAAGAGGAGACTTCTTTGCATCTCTGGAGAATGACATCAAGCCAGTAAGTGGGCGCTGTGTGACTGCTGCAGTGGTCACCCAGTACAGGTAATGACGGGAGGCAGCAGCTCCCTTTGGGATCAGACGCAGTGATGAGCACCATGGTGCACCATGAGCTGAGGTGGGGTGGAAGTGGGGACCCTCTTCCTGCCTGCAGCGCTAAGGCTCCGTTTTCTGCCTTTTCTTGTGTGCAAGAATCATAACAAGGAATAGAACGAATAAAGGGAGCAACCTGGGATTTCTCCCTGTTGGATGTACGCCCTTCTTTAGGCTACTTCAGTCAATGGATCGCACCTTTAACGTGGACTGCAGTAGGAGGTGTGAGCCTCATTTTTGAGAATTGTCTTTGAATGACGTGAGTTCAGAACCCATTGACAGCTTGCGCTGGTCACAGTTCAGTTTGAGGATAGATGGAAAGATGTTTCTAAATGTGCCCAGTGCCCAGCAGTGCTCAGTCACTTGAGCTGCCCTGTGTCACAGTGGGTCTGCCGGTACCGACTGCCCCACCACGGCATCTTCCAGAGCCTTGGCCCTGGTCACTTGGGTCGTGTTGATTTTTTTTCATGTCTTTCTGATGTGATGCAAAATTTCTTGGTAAAATAAATGTTCCCTCTCTTAACACAGGCGTTTGGAACCAACCAGGAAGACTATGCAAGCTACATCATGAATGGCATTATTAAGTGGGGTGATCCAGTAACAAGGGTATTGGATGATGGGGAGCTGCTTGTCCAGCAGACCAAGAACAGTGACCGTACTCCTCTGGTTAGCGTTCTTCTAGAAGGTAAATTTAAGCAAAAAGTATATTTTTTTAAAAAGCAGCTTCTGTGAGCTCTTCCTGTCAGTTGCCCAGGCAGTGATCAGTTCTGTCCTGCAACTGCACATAAAAGAAACACATGGGAGGAAAACCAGAATTGGTCCCTCTCGGTTTACTTGGGTGAGATTTCTCTAGACATTAAAACTGGCTTCTCAGCCTGAGAGAAATCCTGTCCTTGGAACACCGGAGAAGTGATTGTACCCATTTAGTGACGTGAACGTGGGTGTCCTACAGTGCGGACAGCTCTGGTTGAGGGAGTTGTCTGAATGCTCTTTGATGTCCCTGGAGAGCTCCTCAGTTTGATTCACTGCGTTCAAACAACAGCTCACCCAGGCACGTGTGGGTGTCTGCAGTTGGGCAGTGATGGATTTGCCTCTGTCTGGGCTGTTACTGACTGAGATGAGCCTGGGAAACCAGTGCCAATGTTCACATTACAGATCTTCGAGCAGACCTTGTGATTTGGCACTTTCCTCTTTCTTCTCCTGAAGTCAAAGGATGTGGATTACCACTATTGCTTAGCGATGTGCTGCGTTGAAATTAACCTTGAACAGATCCCCTGGATGATTAATTCTGTGTTTGCCGTGTGTATGCAACACCTTCTGGCACTCCAGATTGGTTTTTATTGGGTATCTGGATGAAGACGTGACTTTGATCTCTGTTTGAATTATTCTGGTGTGAATTCAGGTCAATGACAAGCTGTCAGTATTCACCTGGGATTCGTGCTGTTGGTTTGCTTGTTGCAGTACCTGCAGAACTTGTGTTCAGAAGGGGCATGAACGTAGTTCAGGCAGATTCTCCAAAGCACAAACACGCAGTGGCCAGCCCTACCAAACGTGTCACCTCCTCTTCTGTGCTGGCTTCGTGACAAATCAGTCTGCGTGCACTCAAACAGTTGGGTGAATTTCCTTCCTCTGGAGGACTGGGTTGCGCTGGAGTTCGTGTGCTCCTTCTGCAAGAGGAAGAAGAAAAGGTCGTCTCGAAATGCAGAGACTGTGGATGAGATGATAAACACCCTGAAAATGCCATCCCTGCTCTGCCTTTCCAGACCTGTTCTCTCCCTTGTTCTTCCATTACGTTTGTCCTTTATTTCAGGTCCCCCGCACAGTGGGAAGACTGCGCTAGCGGCAAAAATAGCGGAAGAGTCCAACTTTCCCTTCATCAAGATCTGTTCTCCAGATAAGATGATCGGATTTTCTGAAACGGCCAAGTGTCAGGCTATGAAGAAGGTACTTGGGTGTCCCACTCTTGCCCGATTACAATCCAATTCTGTGCTCTCTAGTGGGCAGAAAAGTGCATTACCCTTGTGGCTGTGTTTTCTGCTCTCTGTAGGTCCTGAATTCCTGTGCATGTATGTATTTATAATGAGTGTTTCTGTGGCACCAGCACCGGGTGACTCAGGGAAAATGTCGAGGCTCTGGCCCAGCGGGGTCTGCTGTAAAATGACTGAAGGGAAAGAAAAGACCTGATCTGTGCTGTGCAGCCTGGAGCTCTGTCTGCAAAGATGGGGGCAGGAAGGGCTCAGGGCTGCATTTGGAAAGGACAGACCCTGCCTGGATGAGGTGGTTCTGCTTAGTGAAACAAGGGTTTTAACAGCTTGGGGAGCAGGGGCAGTGCAAACATCTTAGATAGTTTCAAGTAGCCAGGTGGGAGGAAGGAAATTTCATCTACTGAAGCAAGCCAGTGCTTATTCTTCTAGCTGCATGATGCCGAATGAAGTGGTGAGTGATACTGTGAAGGGTGGTGTGCAGGGTCCGTCCGTAGCCGAGCACGTCTGCTGTCCCTGCAGTGTGGGTGACGAAAAGCAACCACTGTCCAGCCTGGCAGAAAAGCTTCATAACCACATTGCAGCTATGGGGCACTTGTGTGCGTAGTGTCACATTTTCAGTGTTGCCCAGCTCCAGAACCCAGAGGAATGGTGCTCTGTTTTGTTCATTGCTTACAGTTAACGCAGGGCAAATGGCTTTTTCACCAAGGGTAAGGGGTAGATGAACAAAACTCGGCTCTGAATTTGTTGAGATGGCAGTTTCATTAATGCAGGTAGGGTCTAGTCTCTGGTGCTTGCCTGTTCCGTTCTCAGTGTATTCCTCTAAATACTGCTGTGTTTAGTGAACGTTTCAACAGGTCCTGCCGTGGCTGTTGTGAGGTCCCTGCTGAGATTCACCAGTGACTTGTTCTGCTGTTTTTCAGATCTTCGATGACGCGTACAAGTCCCAGCTCAGCTGTGTGGTCGTGGACGACATTGAGAGACTGCTGGGTGAGTGGGGATGAAGAGAGCGAGCCGTGTTGTCTGGAGCACAGAAATATTGAAATCAAATCAGTATTGAGATGTTGCGAACCAGAAATTACTGGTTTTGATAGCGTGAAGTAGCTTAAACGTGCATCTGCTTAGAGGGCATTAAAATGCATTTTCCATTCCAGATTACGTTCCGATTGGACCGCGGTTCTCTAATCTGGTGTTGCAAGCCCTTCTTGTACTGCTGAAGAAGGCCCCCCCTCAGGTAAGAAAGTCATGCCCTCTTCCTGTGATGATGCTGACAGGGGAGGGCTTTGTGCCTCGCTGACAGTGCTGTGCTGCCAGGGGTATTAGTGCCATTGTCTCTGGTTCAGTCGAGTTAATCCTAGCCTGCTGCTGCTCAGCCAGGGAGACATTTCTGGGATAACCACAAAGGATTCAACTTTAATTATGTGATTACTGAAGGCTGAATCTTCTACAGTTAGCCCTAGAAATACTGACTGAGGAAACGAGGTTGACCTTCACCATGTGCAACCTAAACGTGCGAGCTGCTTTCTGCTGACAGTCCAGATCAACCCCTGGCTCAACCGTGTGCTCCCTCCTTGTTTAGAAACCGATTTCTGATTGTGGGTGTCAGGGTTTTAATTTGTTCTTAACTTGAAATTATCAGGTGTTAATTGCAGTGGCTGAGGAACACTCGATCTTGTGTCTCATGCTGATCCTGCCTGTTTCAGCTTTCTGCCGGCATGAGATTTAAGTGCGTCACAAGTGATAACGTTTCTGAGGCTTGCTCTGAATGACACAAACGGGCAGGAACTCTTGCTTTTTGTTTGCCATTTTCCCCGTCGTTCACTGCAATTCTGCTGTGTGCTTGAGAGAATCTGCGTGAATAAATAACTTACTAACAGGAAACCCTTGAAGGTCGGTGTCAGGGAAAGCACGGCCTGGATGAACTCGATTTTTTGGTCATTTTTAATATCCTGGGAGCAGTAACGTCTGTGTGAGCATCGTTTTCATTAGAGAGTTTGGTGAAAAGACCTCTCAAATACAGAACTTTGAATTAAATTGTGATACCGCAGGCCCTGAGGTTCCCCTTGTGACAGAGGCTTTTCCCAGTCAGCTTTCTGTGCCCTGTGAAGTCTCTCACGTAAGACCTGGATTCTGTTATCGTGTAAGCTGGAACTGAAAGGCTGCCTGTGTGCATCAGCACAGCCATTTCTGGTCATCACCATCTCAGGTAATTGCTGACCTGTTATGGGTGTTTCCACAGCACCAGGCAGTGGTTGTTCCCATAGATCAGTGGGGGGAAGCAGAACTGGGTTTGGTTCAGTTGTCAAAGTAACTTAAAATATCAAACTGTCCATTTTGTTCTTGCGCCCTCTGAGCGTGTTTTGCTCCTTGCATGCACTTTAGTTGGCACCCGCGTCACCCTGAAAGCAGGATGCGGGGCTCCAGGCTCTCGGGTGTTTGCCAAGTTGGTGCATGTTGCTGGAGGTTTGCACTGTGCGATGTCTGAAGCGCCCTCGAGGCGGGAAGGCTCGGGTTGACAGCCAGTATTATGGTGACTTAAGCCATAAATTGTTGGAGGGTAGAGAGAGTTTTCCGAGGAAGTGTCGCTGTTTGATGGATGGTGTGGGCGGGTTGTTTTCTGCTGTTCTACGTGTCCACTCCTGGCTGCTGTGGAAACGGGGGCGCTGGGCTGGACGGAGCCCTGGGGCTGCCCGCGTGTGGCAGCTCCGGCGAGAGGGGTCTCCCTGGCGTGTCTGCTGCTTGTGGGCTCCCTGTGACCATCGTGGCACGTGGGGGCTTTTCTCATTAAGAAAACCAAAGCGGGGCGTAAGTTGTGCAGGAAAAGGCCTTTTCCACTGTGAATGTTTGCTGTGGAAAAGATGGAGCTCGGGCGTGGAGACTCTTGGGGTTTGGAAGCTCAAGGGAGAAACCCACGAGGGAGATAACGCTGCTGGTTAATGATGAGATGAGCAGCTCCCCTGGGGAGCAATTCATTCAGAAGTAATGGCTGGGTTTGGGGTTCTGTTGTACCGTGAGAGGCAGACACGGGCTTTCAATGTGCACGAGTGGCATCAGTAGTGGTGCTAACCCGCTCCACGCGGTCAAACCAGCTCGGATCTCTCTCGGATTCGGGTCATGGTTTAGGTTCATTCCTGGCGCACATGGAGTGTTCTGGGACACGTCCCCACGCTCAGGGAATCGTTGACAGTGTCAGCTCTCCGTTGCTGTTGGTCTCCCTACCATTTAGCTTCTCAGGGCTCGAAACACGGGGTTGGTTTGGAAAGCGCAGAAATGAGAGCAGCGCCGCAGCTGAAACCGCGGGGAGCGGAGGGTGCGATTCAGCCGCGGCTGCGCTGCGCCCGGCTCCGTGGCGTGGATTTTGTATTCACACGGCGTCGTCACATCGCTCGCAGAGCATGCTTAATGTGCAAGCAGCCTCCCGCAATTACTGCGAGTGCAAGAGGAGCATTTCTGGGATGCGGTCCTATTAATTATGCATTGAGGTGGATGTCTCCGTTGAATCGGTTTGTGAGAGCTGCCTCCCAGCCTCCCCTCTTGCTGTCGAGGCTGTGTTATTTTGACGTGGCGTGGGAAGGGCGAATGTTTTCTGGGCTTCCTGGCTCGTTTGTGCTTTGCAGGAGTTTTGAGAGTAAACACATCAGGCTTTAAAGGAACTGGAAATGTCTCCGAGTTTACTTTAAATTCCCAGTCACAGCTCCTGCTCGCTGGTTCCACCCAGCAGTGCTTTAATAGTGGTGTCTGTTACGACTGGTTCAAGACGACTGAAAAACGCTGCATTTTGTCTAGCATCCTTTTTTAAACCAATTAAAAAGCTTTTCTGAAATGGCTCGAAGAGAAGAAAATAAACCATGTTCTCTTGGGCCTTTATTTCAATCAAGTTTCCCTGCGTTGTGCAGGAGAAGAGACCAGGGGGATAGAAAGGCTGAAAAGGGCTGTCGCAGCAGGGAGCCGAGCGGGAGAAAAGGACTTCTCTGAGAACTAAGCAGCAGCAGCTCCGAAAGCCGGAGCTGCTTCATCTACATGCAGAGTCACACAGGGCACGGAGACACTCACCAGCCCCGCAGAGGCTTCACATGTGCTTCCCTGCTGCTTCCCCTGAAAGGCCGACAATCGGCTCACAGGGTGTCAGGCCAGCGCTGCAGCCCTGCGCTGAGCTGGACGTGCAGGCTGTGCAGCACGGGGAGACGCCTGGCTTAGCGAGGTGCTCTGCGCCGCGGTGGGTGCCCCTTCCGCTGCTCCCAGAGGCCCCAAGCCCCTTTCCTCTGGGCGCCGGAGGCTGTGCCCATTTAGGAAAGTTGGCGGGGGAAAGGGAGGAATAATCTCCTTGTTCGTGCAGTCCCAGATGCGTTCCTGAGTGCACGTCACTTGGTGTGGACTGGGAGCCGCTCCGGTCTGCAGTGACGTTACCACTGTACGGGTCAGCCTGGGGAGCTGCGGTTCCTCCCATTACTTGTGAGGAATTGATACGCCAAAACACGTCCGTAAAAATATATGGGGTCCAAGGGTGAGAGAGGAGCTGGTGGTGACCGACAGAGGCACTTCAGTACCCACCAGCACCCAGAGTCCAGGCTTCCCTCAGCTCCCCTCGCCTGGGGCTGCTTGGACTTGCTGCAGTTCTGTCACTGGAGGCTCCAGGGACACATTGAGACTGCGTTTGCTTGCAGCAGAGGCTGTTCAGTTCCTTTATGTTCTAGTTTGTCTTTGGTAGTCAGTGCAATAATGTGGTGCCCATTAGGACGTGAACGCTGTGTTAGAAGAATCAATCTCATCATGCTTGAAGACGCAGTCACTTAAAACCACTTCCTCTGGTCTGTGGGTCCCATGGTTCTCTGCATGGTTCTATCCTTCATTCAGATAAAATCCCTGTGGTAGAGAGGTGAAATCTGCACTTACCCCCCCTCTAGAAGGCAGGGGACAAGACACACACCTCTCTGCTGGGTTCCCCTGTCAGCATGGAGGGGTCTGGGGGCTCCCACCTGGGGCCCCGTTGTTGAATCCAGGCTGGGGTGAGGTGGCTGTGCCCGAGCGCTGCTGGTGGAAGAACTGGGCCTGGAACTGCCCTGGGAATGACGAGTCTGGCATCTTGTGCTGTTGAAAAGCCGAGTTCACAGAACCACAGCCTGGTTTGGGTTGAAGGGACCATAGAGATCACCCAGCCCACCCCCCATGGGGTCACAGCTCCCCCAGCCCAGGCTGCTCACAGCCCCGTCCAACCTGGCCTGGGGCACTGCCAGGGAGGGGGCACCCACAGCTTCTCTGGGCACCCTGGGCCAGGGCCTCACCACCTCACAGGGGGGAATTTCTCCCTAATGTCTGATCTAAATCCAGTTTAAAGCCATCACCCCTCATCTTCTCACTCCATGCCCTGGTGTAAAGTCCCTCTGCGGCATTCCCGTAGTCTCTTTTTCTGCCTGAGTTTTGGAAGTTCAGCTTGAATCCTGATCTCCTGTGGGCCGGACACGTGGCACGTTGCCTTTGCAATGGCTGCTGTAGAAATTAAGTATTTTCTACATTTGCTGTAGAAATGTGAGTATTTCTGGACATGGGAGCACAATAGCAAGAATAAATGTGGAGTCACCCTGGGGTGTGTTGTCACTGCAGAGCAGCTGGATGAGGGCAGCTTTTTCAATTCGGCTTGATGGCTTTTCGTGCTTTCGTGGAAAAGCCTGGGGCAAAACATTTCTGCCTTGGAGGTTTTCCACTTGTTTGCTGAGCAAGTTGCCCGAAACTTTGAAAAGTACAAGGGACTCCTGACACTTCATTTTCTTTTAGTCATGGATACAGCAGAGATGAGGCTTGTCTTACGGTAACCGGTTTACCCGGGGTCAGGTTTGAAGGCAGCAAGGGGAAGAGCACGGCTTCTTGTGAAGAAAACAACCCGTGAGCTTTGGGTGGAGCTGCTCGGAAAGGCTAAGCGGTGTTTTGTGGAGCTGTTACCTTGTCCTGTTGCTTTTGAGCCTCGTTGAGCTCCTGCCGTTCTTCATGTCGTGCCTGAGTTCAGCTGAATCAGCTGAAGGGGAAAGCAAGCGCCCTTCTGTTCTGTTTAAAACCAGCGCCTATAATTTAGTGTAGTGCTCCTTTTTTGTTATGAGAAGCAGCGGTTTGCCCCTGCCTCTCCACCATCTCTGATTTTATGGACCTTTTCTGTTTACACCCCTATCCATTTACCACGCGTCCATTTAGGGAATTATTTCATATTCCTGACCACAGCCGTTGCTTTCCTCTGATTGCTGCAGCTCAGTGTGTATTTGAAATGGCCAGGGTTGTGTAGTGTCTTTAAAGGAGAAGCACTCTGGATTCCTGCAGTGAAGTGATGGTGTTTGGTTTGTTTTTCTCTCATTCTCAAAGTGTCTGAGTGTTTGCATTCTCAGTCAGGTTTAGCACTGAGCTGGCGTTTTCACAGAGGTTGGTGCAGTGCTGGGTTCCAGTGCCTTTCCAAAACGGTAGGGAGTCGCTTGGAGTCACCTCTGTGCGTGGCCATTGCCCGCTGCCCTGGTTTACACCAGGTCTGGGACTCGTCTGCCTAAACGTGGCTGTCGGGGGGTTGGTTTTCTATGACTGACCTGGTTGTTCAGCACAGGGTTTGCTGAACGAGTCCGCAGCGTGGACAGCTTTCCTGGGAGGAGCTCCTGTGGTCTGGGCCCCTTAACCGGGAAGGAAACGCAGAGACTGAAATCCTGCATGGACACGAATGTCCGGTCTAAATGAAGGCGATGAGCAGAGTTGTGTGTCGTGGAGCTGGAGCACAGAGCTCTACCCTGTGAGCATCAGCTGAGCCTGTGTACAGCAGACCAGGAGGATGCGTGGCCGGGCTGTCCCCAGCCCCTGGGCTCCGTGTGGAGCTGCAAAAGGGGCTGATGGCAGCCGATAAACCCCACTGCTCCTTCCATCAGCCTGTACCGGTGTCTGAACACTGCACCGTGAAATCCAGACAGTGCCGAAACCTCCTGTGCAAGGTGAACTAGCGAGTTGATTTGTATTGGCATTAATTGCTCCGTTGTTTACAAACCCTGTTACTGCTCTGGCAATGTGGAGCTGGTGTGTGTGCTGTTGGTTTAGCTCAGAGGCTGCCAGATGTGGTGCTGTCCTCTTGCATGACCATGATTGCACTGGGAAGGCAACCTCTGCTCTCGGTGTGAGCTGTAAAACCACTGGATCCGTCTGTGCGGCGGTGGAGGGTTCACCGGACCCGCAGGGTGTCTGCACACAGGCTGTTCCCCTGCAAAGTCATCTGAAATGCAGCTTTGGGAAGTGGGGTTTGCCCTTGCTTTTAAATTTAATGAGGATTCAGCTTTTTATGGTGCTTAATGTAGAAGGAAAGGTGAGGTAGGAAAGCTGTGAGTATGGATGGGTTGTCTGTGTCCCATAACTTTTGGACCTTTGTTGGTAGCATTAAACTGACTTCTGGAACCTAATCCTGGTCTTGTGTGGTTGATGTTGACCACTTGAATTACTGAGAGGTCTAATCCTGTCAATTTAAAGCGGTGTTTTTACGTGGCCTTTCCCTGTTTTTCATGTGTGGTTAGCAGGAGCTTCCCAAGGCTGGTTCCCCTCTTGTTTTCCCTTTCTTGACACTTGTTCCTCTGTGTGCGCAGGGCCGCAAGCTCCTGATCATTGGCACCACCAGCCGCAAGGATGTCCTGCAGGAGATGGAGATGCTGAACGCTTTCAGCACCACAATCCACGTGCCCAACATTGCAACGGGGGAGCAGCTGATGGAGGCTTTGGAGGTGAGAAAAAGTCCAAGGATGACAAACAAGCTCAAAGTTTGCTGGAAGCGAGGGATTTTTGTGGTAGCTCTGCATTGGGGAGCACTGTCCCACTTAACATTGTCGTAACAGTTCTAAGGCCTCTCTGAATTACTGTTTCATACAATAAATTAAGGCCAAATGAGAGCAGGGTAGTCTAGGGAGAAAGTTTGAGGAGTGGATTGAAAGATTCCGAGGGCCTGGAAGTGAGTAATGAATATAATTGGGACACTAAAACTGAATGTGCCTGGAGGGTGCCAAGCGCTCATGAATTGGAACAACATCAAACGAAGGTGTTTGGTGCTGAGGAGATTATGGGTTCTTTAGAAATCCATGCCCTTAATGGCTTCTTATTCTGTGCCTTAGTGGAAATTGTAGTGAATATTGAAGGCTGTTAAAATAAACTTAACGGGCAAAGCTTTTGTGCAAACTTGCAAAATTGTCACGTTGATGATCTCGCCAACGCCTGAAAGACGCAGACTCTCCTGCAGCAGCTTTGAGACTGGGGCTTGAGCCTCCGTGTTCCTTTTGGACTGACCTGGAGAAAACCCGAAATGCTTTGTAAAAGAGAGTCAGTAGATGTGATGAAAAGAGCCATTATGGAATAAAACCGTTTAAGTGCTTTGCCTTGCCTACGAATATTGCAACCAGTTTTCCTCCTAAGCTAGAAAATGCTTCCTAGCTTCTCGTTCCCCATTTCCCGAGTTGGGTAGCAGTGTTCCTGCTGAGTGTTGATTTTTGTTCCCTTTAAATGATGTTTTTTCTCCAGCTCCTGGGTAACTTCAAAGACAAGGAGCGCAGCACGATTGCACAGAACGTCAAAGGGAAGCCTGTCTGGATTGGCATCAAGAAGCTGCTGATGCTGATAGAAATGTCATTACAAGTAAGACTGGTTCTGGTCCAGGAAGGACTGGGGGGCACAGAGCAGTGTAAGGGGTGCCTGCTTCTCTGCAGGCTCCTGTTGAGCTGTGTGGTGGGAGCCTTTGAACGGGTGCAGTTGAGAAAAGGGCTGCAGTGACAAGAAATTTTCTGAACAAAGAAATCACCGGGTCTTGGTCGACGAGACGTCTTTAAAAACCACAGTGCCTATAGGCTGTTCAGAGCTGCACTTCAGAGAAGAGCAGGGTTGGATTAACGTACCTTTCATGAGATTTCTGCTCTACACCCAGCACGTTAAGGTTGCAGATACCAATCACTTAGGATTGTATTTTTTTTAAGAAAAAGGTGCCTGTGCAGGTGTATGTGCTCCTTCCCTGCAGAAGATAAATCTGTCAGGCTGTTCAGCTGCTCTTCTCTTTATTTTCCACTTTCAGCACTTTAAAGAAAATAATTGCAGAGGGTAGAAATATGTAGCTCTTAACCCTCCCCCGCACCCGTCATCCGTGCCTGCGAGCCAGCCATCAACTTGTGCTCGACAGCGTGTGCATGCTGAAAATGAGAGGGTGTAGCGTGCAGCCCTAATCCTCCGCGGCTGACATTTCAGCGCCCTTCGCAGTCCTTCCCCCCTCGCACACACTCTCTTTTCACATCAAATGGATTTAGTGCAGCTGAGTGAACTGTCCTTAGATCTTCCTAGGAGAGGCTGAGCATAAGCTAAGAGGCATGTAGTTTAGCAGCATATAAGTCATGTATCCCTCTGTTCACTATTCACAATTCTGTTAAAACTTGCACAGCACTAAGGATATGCTCTGACTGGATGTCACCTCAGGGAATAAAGTCATTTATCTAGATTACTTTTTCCTCTTCTTCCTTGGCTCCTAATTCCATACCTACAGGCAAGTCAGTAAGTCATTGCTCACATGTATTAAATGCATTTAAGGGGTGCAGGCCTTCGGGGACTGCCTGGCTCTGGTGCAGTCCATTTCACTTAGCCATGACAAAGGATTCCTTCTGCTGACACTGAATGTTTCCTTCTGCTGCTTTGACCTTAATTGTTGGTTCTTTTCAATACCCAAGGTGAAGGTTATGTCCATTGTGGGCAGCTCTGAATCCCCAGCCTTGTTCTCAGCATCGCCCCGTGGCTGCACACCTCCGGTGCTGTAGGCAAGGAGGGTTCATGCTGCCCTAGGCTGTGCAGACAGGTAAACTGCTCTGGTGCTTGCTTTTATGACCAGATGATGTGGATGAGTCCATCAGTGGTCAGGCTGGGAGAGGACAGGCAGAGCTGTGACTGTGCTGTTTCTGACAGATGGGAGAAGTGTGAAATTGGGGCTGCTGCTGCTGATACAGAGGATGGATAATCCACCTTGGCTACTGCCCGGGGATGGTTGGTAGCAAGGGGCTTACGTTATTACATGCAATTCAGATGATTGTGCCATAGTGTGTGGAAGCCAGATAGGAAGAAGTTCTGTTCCTAAAGGTCTTTCCATGACCCGTGACGTGTAAACACGTGAGGTGTTTACGTGACTCCGTCTGCTGAGCTGTTGCAGATACAGGGAAGCAGTACAGGCTCTCGGTCAACAGGAGAGCACTCGTGTCTGAACGCACTGCAAGACCACAGTGATACCTGTTTGGGCTGGCTTTTATGGGAAAACACCATTTCACCAAATGACAAGCCCAAGACTGGCTTCCTTTTTCACTGAGCTGGACCACAGCGTCACAGAAGGACATTCGAGTCTGAAATTCCTTAAACTCCAAATGATGGATGGAGTTTCCCAAAACTCATCTCATTAGGTCCCATGGTGAATCAGTTCTTTGTGAAAGATGTGCACGCAGTTTCTTTCTCTGCAGTCACTGAATCCAGTTGTGTTTTTGCTTTACTAGACCAGTAAACCCAGTATCTGCTCTCTGCAGGTGTTCTTCAGCTGCTCAAGTGACTGTCAGTTTGTTTCAGACTGAGCCGGTCTCTCAATGGCCAAGTCCTTTCTTGGAGCACCATGATCCACGGCGTTGCCCTGGTGTCTTGGGTTGCTCCGTTACCTTGTTTACAGGCCTTGTAAACCCACGCCTTTTAGCAGCCTCATTTCCCTCAGACTGTTTATTGCTGTTCTGGCCTCCTTTAATGTCATGGCTCGTATTTAGTGTCACGTATTTTGGTCATCTTGTGTACACTGGAATGATGTGATGTTCTTGTTCCAAAGAAGCCTTTGATGAATATTTTTTTATTAAATTTGCCACATACATCCAGACAAGTTTTGTTTTGAAGTGCCCTTGGCTGCAGTACATGGACCGGCTCGCAGTGCTATCGGGTGCCACGCCAGCTTCACCCTGCGCTGACGCTGCAGCCCTGCCTGGGGTGCTGCTGGGTACGTGAAACCTCTTTTTCCATAGCTAGGAGACCGGTTCCTTCTGCTGGCTTTGCCTGCCTGTCCTGTTGCTCCAGGACCTTGCTGGCAACGCTCCACAAACCCAGGTCTCTCCTCCCTGGAGCAGGAACCCGACTGAGCCAGGCAGCTTTCCAGAAAGTCCCTTTTTGCACCTCCAGTGCTTCCTGATTTGGTAACTTCTGCTTAGCATAAATAAAACCGAGCTTAATCTGAGCTGTTTGTCTGTAATGTACTTTAAAGTACATGAGAACTTATTTTCAAAGGTCATCACATAATATCCATAGAGTCATAGAATCCCATGTTGGAAGGAACCACAAGGACCATCCAGTCCAACCTCTTGAGGTAAAAGTGTCGTTTAAATGAGAGGAGTCAGCACCCTGTGCAGCTGACTCAAATCTGACCAGTGCAGGGGTCAGCCACTTCACGCTGTATCCAGTCAGTCTCTGCACTGCTCTTCTAGCAAATACTTCATGCAGTTTGATCGCAGCACTTCTCCTTTCTCAGGGCACCAGAGCATCTGTTCAAGCCCTGACCCTGTTTTTCCTGTGTGCTCTGTTGACACCATCTTCTCCTTCCAGGGCAGGCCAACCTCCTGGTTTTGTGTCTGCATTTTTTCAATAAGCTGTTTGATGAAGTTTGTATCTTCGTTGCCTTTCAGCTTCCTGCTTTCGTCTTTAGGACAAGGTGCTGTGTCTGCAGACAGAAGCTGTTCCTCCTGAGTCCTCCCGAGTCTCCAGTTTCCAAATGTTTATAGTCCAGCTCATTGTGTCTTGGTGCAGTCATGGCAGTTTGCCTGCTCCTCTCCATGGGGATGCAACCAGCCCATGCATCAGCACAAAGGATGGATGCAGTGTTGTCTTTTGATGGCAGCCCCAGTCTCTGTCTCCTTGGTTGTCTTTCCTCTTTTCCCTCTTGTCCCTGTCTCGGGGCTGATCTTTAGGGGCTGTTCCTGGTTGATGGAGCCACAGCACAGGTTGGTACCGCAAGGTCTGAAGCCTTGTGCTGTGCCTCTGCTTTCCCTCACCTGCTGACCCACCATGTGTACCTCCTCTGGTGCTTTGCTGCTGGAGCTGTCAGCGCGAGGAAGAGAGAGGAAAACTGAGGACGTGTTCAGTCCCTTCTGCTCCCAGCTGTTTATTTTATTGCCCCAGCTCTGGAAAGGGGCAGGTAGAAACAGACACAGCGTGGGCTTGGGTCGTGCAGAGCCAGGCTAGGATGGGCACTGTGGGATGGGCACTGTGGGAAGTACCTGTGTGGGATTCCAGCCTGGCCCATCTCGTAGCTGCGTGAGCACCCTAAGCTCGTGGTCTCGATGTGTTTGTGCACTGCTTGGCTGCAGGCCTTGAGGACGAGCAGCCTGGTCTGTGGCCACACCAATGCATGGGTGAAGCACACACACACCCACACACACACCCACACCCACCCCAGCACACACCCACGTGTGGCCCTCTTTTCCTGTCATGCTGCCTGGGACGCTGCATCGCATTAATGGGGATCTGCTTTGTTTGGTGTCTAGATGGATCCCGAGTATCGGGTGAAAAAGTTCTTGGCTCTTCTGAGAGAAGAAGGAACGTAAGTACTTTTATTTTTACAGAATTGTTTAAGGTTGTCTTTTCTGCTCACAAACAAGCATCTTTGAGCAGAAGCTGCCGTGTGGTGTATCTGATCTTGCTGGCCTCTCCTGTATCTACAGAACTGTCTATCAGATCAGTTCTCCTTGCGGCTGTGTGCCGGTTGTTCTGGGAGGGGGGGTGACCTGGAGACGTTTTGAGAACCTGCATGCCCGAATTCTCTGCTCTTCCTAATTTAACTGTGACTTTAAGATCTAAATGAGATATTGGACCACGGTTAAGCTTTCTTTAACTAAAGTAAATCTGAAGAGATTCTGCTAAGAGTTAAAATCCAGGTGTTTGTCTGAGATCTGGAACTTGGTTTCTTGTGTTTCTCCTTTCTGAGATGAGGATCTCCTCCTCTTTCCCCTGTAGGTGTCACAGGGAATAGTTGAGCCCAGTCTTGACCGTGGCATCTCCTAGAAAATGACTTTCTAATACATGTAGGGCAGTACCTGTGCTGGGGAAACTCCCAACAGTATCTATCCCGGCTACCTGTGAGTGGGTTCCAGTGTGTGCTTGATGCTTTTGTACCTGTGCATGCTTTCTTGATGGATTTGGCTTCTTTTGCAAGAGTTCCTTCCCTAGACTGAAGGTGGACCAAGTGCAAGATCAACAGCTGGAAAAGTGACCAACCTGGAGAACAGACACTGGGATCTTTACTCTTCTGTGTTCAACACACTGGACAAAGTGAAATGCTCCCCCGTTTCCAAGAACCCCATGTGGAATCTGCATGTTTAGTGCAATACGGTATCTTTGTTCTTCGTCTGCAATACACTGATGTCACGTGGAAGTGTCCTCTAGAACACCGTGCTTTTGTCTCCGTGCAGGCCGGGCTGCGTTCTCGTTTGGTTTTAGCATGGGGGAAATGTGCTGTCAGTTTTGAAGCTAACGCTCACTTGTGTCCAGCACCCGGTTGCTACACCAGGAAAGAAATCCTGATTTCTAATAAAACCTGACGGTCTTTGCTGAAGGCTTGCTGAAGTTCTGCTCTGTGTTTTCCTGATCTGATGAACGCTTCCTTGTTCTGTCAGCCTGTGCCTCACTGAGCGCTGGGCCAGGCTGATCACCCAGAGGCAGTGCCCGCAGTAATTGGGCTCCAGAACTGCGAGGTGCTGATAGCGGCTTCCTTTGACACCCGGCTGCTTGCTGGCCTGATGGTGTATGGGCAGTGGCACACGGGGCTGGAAGGGGGCAGGGAAGGATGTTGATCAGAGTAGAGGAAGCTTCCAAATCCAGTAGTGAGGGCATCAAAGCTTGTCAATTCAGCAGCGGTTGTCGAGAGGCTCATTCCAAACCGAAAGCTCTTCATGAGTGCAATGTTGATGGCAGCTTTGGCATTGCCAGCCTCGTTATATCCCGTTTTTCTGCCGTGTTACCAAAGGTTGGAATTCCTCCTTAGAGACAGAGGAAGCCGAGCTCTGCAGATGCACGAGATGTGTATGGCCGTGTTTTTGCACTAAAATAAAGGAATGTAAAGGCTCTGCTGCGTGGTCTTTCCCCAGCAGTCATCTCGTGTCAATGAGGTGCTGCCGATGACAACTGCACGAGGCTGCTCCCCTCTGGTTCCTTGGCTCCACACGTTTAATAAGGTTCATGGAACATACCTCAATTTGGTGGGGCATGAAATCAAAGCCATTTATGAGATCTTAGTCAGTGTAGCTTCCTAGGCTTGACCAGACACGCTGCTGAGGGCTACCAGCTTGCACCCAGAGCGGTGTTCCCAGGAAGGAGGGAGCTTCACGTTCCTTCAGGCCCGGAGGTGAAGGTGCTGTCGTCCTTAGCGCATTGCAGCGGTCGGAGCGTTTTAGTCACTCCACTGTGGTTTCTGTTCCTTTGGCAGTGCTGTTGTGTTGTGGTGACGTCGCGAGGCCCAGTGGTTGTTGTCCCCTCTCATTCTGTGTACGATCTTGTGAATTTATTTGTTCCTTCCTTTCCTCTGCGAGTCCCAGCGACAGCAGCGCACATTAACTTATACTTCAGAGTAAATGATGTAAACCTTATTGTGTCTGTGTCCAGAACTATATCGATGAATAAATATCTGGTTTAATTGCACATTCAATGGATTCAATAAAAAGCACAACTACTTGTGATGGTCTGGGAGACATTTGTGTCTGTGGTGCTGGTCGAACCGAGGCGCGTATGGGGAGTGCCGAGGTGTGGCTGGAAGAGAGCAGAGCTGATCCCAGGCTGCGACAGCCCAGGGGTGCTGAACACATCCCCAGCCCGGGTACCCTGACCACAGGTCAAGGGGTTGGCCGAGAGGACTCCGGGTTCAGCCCATGCCGGAGGTTTCTGGACCCCTGTGGAGCAGGAGAAAGAGATTTGTGTGTGTGTGAGGGGTGTGTATGAGGGGTGTGTGTGTGTGTGAGGGGTGTGTGTCAGGTGTGTCACCCTGGGGAAGGCCACGTTGGGTGCGACATCCCCCCCATCCCAACCTTTCCAAGGTCCCCGTCCCAGCCGTTTCCTGCGGGCAGCAGAAGGGCGGCTCCTTCCCACCACGTTTCCTCCTCGACAGCAAGAGCCACCCTCCTCATCCCCATCCTTACCCTTCCAGAAACACAGTTGTCTCTACAAGGGAGTTATTGACCTAGGAAAAATGCATTTCGAAGTGTTGGGATGGGTTCTGGGGGGTGGAGCGTGGTGGAGAGAGGCTGGGCGATGAACTTCCACTCAAAGCTCCAGACGCCTCCCGAGGAGTTTCGGGTGGTCTGGTTGTTGGTGACACGTTGTTGGTGTTGGTGTGATGGCACGGCAGAGCGAGCTGGCTGCGATGGGGGCAGCGCTGTGCGGGAAGGCAGACGCAGTTGTTTTGTGTGTGAATTGGGTCGGTGTAGGAATAGAAAACGTTTGGGTTTTTTTACCCTTCACACAGGGGTATTTGAGGCCAGTGCTGTGGAAAATTGTGAGCACTTAAAGGCATTGGTAATGCATGGGGGATGTTGCAGAAACACCCACAGAGTTATTCGTGGGCAGGAGATGTTTCTGTATGGGAAAATTTGGGTCTCGGTCTGCCCACCCCATCCCAAGGTGATTCAGTGGCAGCCCGCGCTGGTGCAGGGAGGACGTGGAGCCTGCAGCCTGTGTTACTGCAGGGATCTGGTGTGTGCTCATGGTGACATGAGCTCATGGGGCAATCAGCCCCCAGCTGTGAAATGCCCAATGCTGGCTCTGTTTTACCGTCGCCCGGCG